TCACCACGAGAGGTGGTCCCATGCCCCCCCCCCCCCCCCAGAGAAATTTCCTAGCTACGCCCCTGCTCTACAAGCTGATTATTGAATAAATAGACAAACCTATAGACATTGAAAGCGAAGGAAAAATTGAGCGATCCTAAAATACATATTGGTTGAAACGACTGTTTGCCATGGTATAAGCTAAGGGGAAAATACTTGACGGACTATCTATAGAGTCCCCTCCCTCGTGCCAGTAGTTTATCTATCACTGCTTTTCACTTTATCAATTGCTACAACCCGCTCCCACCAATAGGATCGCTCCATTTTCTATTTTTTTTTCTTCGTCTATGACTCCGTCTATCACTACTGGGCACTGGTAGATACTTTTTCCGTATGCCGGGGTTGCCAGGTCGTGCTAACAATTAAGAATTGATATTTTATTCGGCCATATTTCGTGGTTATCGTCTGGTCTATCTGAAAACCAAACGTCACTAACGTGCGTGCGTTGATTACGATATTAAAGCATTGAGGCGTGCAGAAAGAGTCCCTCTTGGTTGCGGTAGTTTCAGAATCTCCACTGCCAATTGATGTTTTAGAGAGAAAATTAATGTGTGAATTTTCTGAAACGTTTAGAGTATTAAAAAATTACAAAGAATATTTAGTCAACTTTTACATTGCTTTAATCATGGTGGATGAAGAGTTAGCAGAAGTTCTGAGACTCCACAACTGAGAAGTGCTCTTCCTGCATCCAGGCCATCAATAATTAACCCTCTATGGCATGCACGGAGAAAAAAACTTCGTGCATGGGATCTGAAGTTGAGGTCATATGGATCTCTAAAGTTTTCGGATCTCGCATCCGAAAACTTGAGGTCCAGCTGCCGAAGTTTGGGTCAGACATCTGAGGTACAGGTACATACCGAAGGGTTCTGGTCACACATCTGAAGTATCCGGTACATACCTAAGTACTTCAGATGTCTGACTCGAACTTTGGTAGTTGGACCTCAAGTTCATCCGAAAACTTCAGAGATCCATATGGCCTCAACTTCGGGTCCCATGCACGAAGTTTTTATCTCCGCGTGGTATTGCGAATTCGCGACGGTATATTTTTGGGTTTTAAGAAATTGAATCTTTCCCTCGCGGCATGATTTTGCAAATTTTAATTAGTTTTTTCATTTTTTGAATACTTAATTTTCAAAAGTTTAACTCTCGAATGTTCAGACGGCCGGCGTTCTCTCTTAGCTCGGCAGGCGTGTTCGTTCCTCGGTCGAAGAGTTGCCTATCCGGTAGAATTGAAGGGAAAATTCAAGTAATCGATGCTAAAAACTAAAATTCAATTTTTCTTCAAATTTTTAGGGGAAATGAAAAATATGTTCGATAGATTTTCCACTTTCCAAGTCCATCTTTTTCAAACTTCACACTGGAGTTACCGCTAGTTTTGGTGACACAAAAGTGCAGTTACTTCCGTTGCAAAATTGATTCGCCAGGCGAGTAGGTAGCTCTATCAGGAAGGAGGAGACGAGATGCGTTATTTCGGCGCACGACAAAATCAATAGCAATTTGCGTGTTTACTTATCAAATTAGCCATGCTTATCGAACAAAAAGCGCATAGAGCACTCTGCCGATCGGCAGGGTAGCCGATTCGAACCATTTTTCACGAGAATCCTCGTGAGGTATCCGGTAAAAATCCGTCGATCTGGCAACTCTGGCGACACGTACCCAGAGTTACTTAAACTCCGTCTCAATACAAACAATGTGCGACTGATAATTTTGAATATTTTGCGAGCAAATGTACACCCCTCCCTCCGTTGCACCCCCTTTTTCCTCCGTCACATTTTTCGTCTCGAGGCTGAGAAGCGGCGCATCTCAACGGTATCGCATCCAACGTGTCGTCTTTATTCGGATC